AAAAAGAGGGAGAGCTTGACAGTTTTAAATGGAGTAGAGGTGTTTGAAGTGCCAGAAGGTTAAATCAACAAACAATGGGAGATTATTGCTTTCAGAGACCTATGACCCCAGCCGAACTCCTAAATGACAGGGCATCTCCCTATAAAAGAAAGGAGGATCTCAAAGAGACATTAATAGTGGGTGACATAGATAGGGATACTTGGAACAGAGTTTTGTCCAATAGTGGAAGGTACATAAGGGAAGCAAGTTAAATTTTTCCAGTAGAAGGTGTTACATCGGTATTGTTATACGGCAGTGCGACTTTTTAGAATGGGTTGTGTAAATTATAATATATGCTGGAAATGCAAACAAGAAATTTGCACATATGATATATGCATGTTCTTTGGCATTGTTCAAAGATTCAACCTTTGTGAAAAATTGTATGGAAATATCTTGGAAAATGTTTGGGATTTGACCCTCCATTTTCATCAAGGATTTGGCTTTTAGGAGGTAAATCTGAGATTTCCCAGATTAAATATAATGAGTTTTCCCTTGTCACTATGAGTTTAATTAAAATGTGGATTGAGTTTATGCTGGAGAATGTATCATATACATGAATGTTAGCTAAGGTGAACGGAAAGCATAGAGATGTTGACATGTGGGAGAATTTTATTCAGTTGGTTACTTTGAAGGATGACTACACGCTTGAGTTGTAACTTGCCCACACGGTTGTGCACAAACTGTGATTTCTTGAATCAATAATTTTTTTCATTTATTATTAATATCTTGATTGTTGCATTTTTTATTTATTTATTTTTCACATGTTTAAATGTTTTATATTGGTGAGATTTCATAAATATCACCAATTTTTGGTAATTTTCTGTTCATACTGTTTAGTTACTATGCAGTCTTTCATCTAATTACTCATACTTGTGCTAGGGTTTTTAGTGTGAAAGCAATGACTTTAGTGAAGAAAGCCTATTATGTTTTAGCTCTTATATTCTCTCTCCATCTGAAATTTTTAGAGGGTTTTGGGTCAGTGACCGCCTTTCTCTTTTTAACAAAATTAGGACCCTTAACAAAAAAGGACCCAGCTAGTGCACGTGAGCCTTCTCTTTCTTAAGGACACTTTACACAACCCACCTCTCTCCTTAGAAAGGTCACATCTCTCTTGCTGTAACACTAAGCCTTATACTCAACGTTTTGACACATAATGTGCGGCAGCTCTGGTTTCCATTCAGTAATGATAATTGAATTACTGTTTGTGCACCCAGCTGCAGTGATATTTAAAACTCATCTGTAAATCTAACACTGAAACCAGTGGCGTAACGAGCCAACACCGGGCCCTTATGCAGGATTTTCAAGGCGGGCCCCCCTATTACAGCACGGGATGACGCAATGTCCACGAGTCGGTTAACGTTACCATGAATGGGACAACCAAAAACAACAACCAAAAAAAAAAAAAAAAAAACACTGAATGCGGACCATAACACATGAAAAAAACATTGCTGGTGATGGCGCACCATAACACATTGTTACTCACTGGCTGCTATGCCGAACAGTCGCTTCAGGCGCTTCGCTCTTTTGTTCCAACTCGATCTCCCCCTCCTGTGCCATCTTTTTAAAGAAGCTTCCTATTTTTGTAATATACTCATTCATTTCTTGAATCTTTCATTTTCACTTTTGAAAGCAACTTTTGTGTTTGTAATTTGATGACTCCATATCGATATTGTCTGTCTAAACTTCAACGTTTTTACTGTTTTGGACGCAATACGCACGTTCTCTTCCCGATCCGGGGATTCCCCAGTCCTAATTCGAAACAAATTACATCAAAATCCATCATTGTTCCTTTCACACATGTATTTAATGATCAGTAAAATATGTTGTCATAATTTATTCAAAGATATTTGTGATAAAGTAATGCGATCAGACTAAAAGTAGTAAAATGCGATAGGGGCCCCGGCTGTCAATCAATATCTTCCTGTCACACGGGCCCCTGATTGGTCTAAGCCTGTAATCAGCCGCGTACCCCAGTAGTTACGCATGTGACTGAAACTACTAGCAGTGACGACGGATTTGATTAACGATGGTGTATCGGACTGGCAGGAGGCTGACAGGTGCTCGTGAGGATTGCAGTGGCCGTTATATGTACAACTTGTAACTTCAGGGTTAATCCCTGCACACGTCACAATGACACAAATACATTCGTGACTGTAACATTGTTCTTACCCCTTTGTTTATTCACAGTAAGTGGACTCTTTTCCAGGAAGATCGCATTACGCTCCTGGAACATCTTAGAGCTTAACATTTTTTTAGGGAACAATAGCATCATTTAGTAGATGCCCAGAGCAGTAGCGGTGTAGTGAGCTAGTATTCATTTCTACAGTTTTTTGTTTTATTATTATTATTCTATTCTTTTGGTGGAAGTATGTCTAGAAATCTAGAAATTAATTTGACCAGAAAATGCTAAATTAAACTCAATATTCAAACATTTTTATGTTTATTTAAATTAGGTTTAGTTCACTCAAAAATGAAAATTCTGTCAGTAATTACTCACTCTCATGTCGTTCCAAACCCGTAAGCCTTTCGTTCATCTTCAGAACACAAGTGGAGGTATTTTTAATGAAATCTGTGAGATTTCTGTCCCTCCATTGACAGTCTAAGCAACTACCAAACATTTTCATTGACAATATCCCCATTGAAGAGCCACCAACTCATGAGCTCTCATTGCATTAAAGCTATTCGCTCACCTGAGATGATTCTCTGTTTGTGTTGGTGTTGTGTTATGAGTTGAATATATAATCCATTGTCTTTAGCGCATACATTGCAGTCTTTCTTTTAACATTATATATAAAACAATATTTTTTTGGTCTTTATTTTTTGTGTGCTCCATATTTTCCACAATATTTCAGTGTGTCATGTTAGCATGTCTGGAACTAATAGCTTTGACTCGGGTTGCCAGCTGGTGGAGTTAACATATCTAAAGACACAGAGTTTCTTATCTCATCTCAAGCCTTGATTTCCTGTCAGTTCCCTCTCTCTAGATACAGCCTGATGAAAGCATGCCCGAGATTCGGTATTCTGTCTGATATAAATGGACCGCTGCTTCGCTCAAGCCTGGTGGCAGAGTCTTTGTCCTGAGGCTAGCGAATGTCAAAGTGCCATTCAGAGAGCTCTGTATGTTCACTTAAGCCATCTGTCCACTTCCTTTCATCTAGAGGTGGGATGACACACATTCCTCTAATCCCGAGTGCATGAAAAAAGGGTACTCGCTCCTTCACTCAGTAGTTTCATGAGATGCATAGGCTCAGTAATGTGCTAGAGATGTGGGAATAGCATGTGTCATTTGTGTGTCAGATTATAAGAGAGCTCATCTCACTGTTTACGGTCTGCGGGACGTTCACAGATACGCTCGCAATCGCGCTAAGGACCATGGCAGTTAGCTTATACTACAAAATTGTACTTAGTACTATTTTCAAATCTTTGGTGTCCGCTCTGATATCTGGCTTACAATTGTCTTATGATTTGCATGTTTCTGCAAATACTATGTAGTGGTATGCAGAAATTTAGTTCAACTTAAGAAAAATCCCTGACAAGAATTTTTACTTTTGCTTATTTTAAAGCAACACTATGTAGTTTTCAACCTTCATAATATTTCCAAAACCTTACAGTAGGTTGAATGACACGTCTGCCATAGCCTGACGGTGTCTGTATTGCTTTTACTGGCACTATGTAACTTCGGGGTTCGGGTAACAACCCGAGCACATAAAGAACTACAAAATTCGACTGCTTTACGACATACCTCCCTTCCCCCACTTTCTCAAATTTGGACGTGAGAGCCCAACTATCATTTGTTTGTCGGATGATGTTGTTGTCATGATTTATCATGATCATAATGTGATCATAATGATCATAATATATATATATATATATATATATATATATACAATTTATATATGTACAATTTTCATGGTCCCGTTAAGCAGACAAAAACATGAACATGTTGGGACATGTGGCTTTGGTTTAACTATGTACAGTTATTATCACTTAATGTGTACTCGCTTTTGTTGCCAGCTATTTTGTCAATAATGGCTGTATGTTGAGTTATTTTCAGAGGACATTAAATATAGACAGCTATACAAGCAGCACATTGACTACTCTAAAATACATCCAAGTTTCGTTTCTATAGTATTGTCCCTTGAGTAGATATACTAAAATGTTTGCTAAAATGTGAGTGTTAAACCCACTTTTGTGAGATGCTATGTTTATTATACAGTATATATATATATATATATATATATATATATATATATATACAGTTCTATATATCATTCTACATAGTTCTAAAATTCTACATGTATCGTTCTGTAGTTATATCCATCTTTCTATCTAAACTTAAATGTAGCATTGTAAAATGGGTCCAAAAGGAAAATATTGAATAATTTTTGTTTCTCTACACTATTTTGTTAATAATTTAAAAATCAATATGTAGTCTATAATATCCAGAATAATTCAGTATTTTTTTCGTCAACAATATGACTTACTCATGAGAAAACATTCTTAAATGAAATGTTAGGCATCTGCTGCCAGAGAAGTCATTAACAATGAAGGCTAGTGGACAATCTACATACTGCATACTCAATTATTTATCTTGAATATTAATTGGTCAGACTGCATACATTACTACATTCCTATGCCCATAGATCTGCAGCTGTCATGTACAATGAAGTCACTAAATTCTACTCATTTCAGAATTGTATTCACAAATCATTACACTGTATCTTTTTTTTATAGTACAAGTAGAAATAAATAATCAGAGGAGGCCACTTCTGTGATTTTTAGCAACTCTTTTTAACATGTTACAGTCTCAAACCAGAATTGTGTTTGTCCTCGGACATTCTGTCATGCGTAGGCAGTGTGGGATATCAGGTACGAGCTGATCTAACACAACATAGCGTGAGATTAGACCTTCCCACTTTCTCTCTAGTACACACACACACACACACACACACTCTCTCTCTCATGCTTGCTTCCTTACTCATCATACTATGCTGTTTTATAAACACTCTCTCGCATAGCATTTATGCATTTGCTCAGAACACATTACTGGATGATGATCTAAACCAGAAGCCAGGGTATGAAAATTCACTGTCGGTTAACGTTAGGAATAGACAGTTTGGGCGGACAAGAATCAACTCAAGAAAGTGGGGAGAAGAGAAGGTAATTCCCTTGCAGTGCAGACAGAGAAAAGCGGAGAAAAGCAGATAAGCGTGTGCTTGATGTGCTGCAGTGTGACGTGGATGGATGTGGGATTTCTCCCTAGTTCTGTGTGTTGATGTGATTGGTGCCCAGAGTCCATCGCTTCACAGGCTGCTGCTGCCCTGGAGCCAGAGCACAGGAATTCACTCTCATAGAGACCGAGAGCAAACCATGCATTGAGACACTTATTTACACACGTTTCACACACACAGACACCACATGGACAGATACACACTCTGGCAGCACTTCAAAGCAATAACTGTACTTGTGGTTAAAACAGAGTGTTGCACTCACCTTTTTTTTGACACCTGCCACATCCATTTTGACCTTTTTAACTGCGTTTTCTTGGGAAGAAGAAACTTTAGTCGCTGAGGTAACAGCTTGGTGCCTCCTGGGAGATTTTAGGACTAGTTTCTCTTTATAGCATCAGCATAAAGAGTAGGTAAGTCTGTCTGCGGGAGCTCGCCGTCAGCATGCAGGTGTCATTCGTGTGCACGGACCACCGAGGTGTTAGCCGCAGCACCGAGGATCGACTGAACCGGCAAAACGCCAACAGCCCGAGTTTGGGGACCAAAAGCAAGTTCCGCGCCGTGGCGATGGTGGCCCGCAGCCTGGGACAACTGTCTGTGCAGAACATGCACTCCTCTGGTGACCACTGCTTGAGAACTGGCATGAAATATAGGTAGGTGAGAGGAGGACTCCAATAACCCTTATGTTCTGTTGCTTGTGATTTTGCTCTGGTTTAGACTCTTTAGTCTGGATTGAACAAGTAATGTACAATGCTTTCAGTGTCACCAAATATTTTCATTCTGGCTCCGTCACTTTTAAACAGAAAATGTGACTCTGGGGATGTGATTTGTTATAGGGTCAATTTGGTTTTAAGGGTTAAATTTGGCAACACACTGTTTAAGAATGTCTGTTATGTTAGTTGGCTAGTTAGTTAGTGGGATTCATTAGAAGCATGTTTCATCATACTGTATTTTTCAGGATACTCGATTTATTTATTTTTTTATCTATGTTATCTGATTTTAAAATGTAATATAACAAATAATTAATTATGAGTATTTTATTTGCTTTTACTCTTACAGTATCCTACTCTACTGTTGTAAAACTGAAGTCTCTTATACTCACCAAGGCTGCATTTATTTGATCAAAACAGTAGAACAGTAATATTGTGAAATATGATCTATGTTTTATATTTTAGAATGGAATGTATTCCTGTGAGGGCAAAACTGAATTTTCAGCAGCTATTACTACAATCTTCAGTGTGACATTATCCTTCAGAAATCTACATCAGCCAAATATTTCTGAATATAGAAAATATTTTAAATAATGAAATAGTGAGTCATTGATTTTCTTGGTTGTCTTTTAGTGGCTTTTTATATTATTGGCTCCTTTTTATAAATATAATTTCTGAATTGGTTATTGTGTGATATTCAAGAGTTTTATATATATATATATTATATTGGATGAATATTCATTTTATAATGTATTTTCATCTAACTCTCAGTTTTAATCTTTGTATGAAATATAATCTTTACCAAATCTCAATATGAATAATCCATTTTTTCCATGCTATACAATTGTGATGCCAAAGTGCATTTGTAGCATTGACAAACCATTTATTGGTTATCAGCCATATTGGCTTATCTGTATGAGACATAATTCAGAATGCATCTTTTAATTGTATTAAATGCAGAGGTGCGATCATATGGCCTCTTGACGCCTCTGAAATTAAAGATCAAGTCTTTCACTTGACTAAGTCATTGAATTTGTGCAGACACATTTCTCTGCTCTCTCGGTTCAGAGGAGAAGGTAGAGATGGAGATTTCAGTTAGTGCCCGTTAAAGCCATTAGCATGTTCTCTATATGAAATGGAGATGCAGTGTGATCATGTTCCACTGCTTAGCATTATTAGGAGCATAGGGTGCTCTCTCTCTCTACAGTATTTCAAATGCAGTGCTTATTCTGCCCACGGTCTGCTCACTGATAAAAAAAATAGTGTGCTTAACTAAACCCAACCTCCCTCCTCTCTTTTCCATACTGCAATTTGCGTAATTGTTCATCAAAGGCACTTTGTAGCCTTGCAAGGTAACATAGAGTGTCTTCTTCCTGATTAAACCATGTAACTGTACACCTGAGAAACTTGCTACCAAATGTCTTGGCTCTTAAAGCAGATTCTTCCATCGAAATTAAGTCTTTGAAATTTAAAGCTGTAAAAATGTAAATGTGTCACAGTCATGAAGGCTGTGTTTATTTTCCTATATTATAGTATGTGAAATGAGGCTTATTCATTTTTTTTTTATTGCTTTTCATGATTTTCATTTACCTGATCATTTTTGTCTATATTGATTAAAAAATATTTACACTGCTCTCTACCTTCTACACACACTATATTTAAGGATTAATAACTTACTTAATAACATTGTTGCACAATAATGCAATACATTTTATCATGTACTTTATGGCTCTACTAGTAGGATTCACAAAAATTCATAATGTATTTATTGATTTTATTCTATTTATTATATAAGTTAAACATTATTTAGTAATAAGGAACTATAAATGTACATGTATGTCTCTTTATCAGTATTTGTAGAGTTTTATCAGTTTTACAGCAGAAAGTGATACCTTTTTCGAATTATTTGTTCTAAATTTTGTTTGTCGTAGAAATATTTGTTTTCTTTTAAATTTCACCAGACTTCATTCATCACCCATTTTCATATAACATACTATGATGAATTTTTATGCATCTTTCATTAATTGGTAATTTAATTACTTAAAGGGATAGTTGACTCAAAAATGAAAATTCTTTCATTATTTAGTCACTCTCATATTGTTCCAAACCTGTATGACTTGTTTTTCTGTGAACAGGCTGATCTCATGAAGTAGCGTGTGTATGACACGCCAATTCGTATTTCCATTTTTGGCGTGCTATCAAGACACATAATCGCCTTTCAGCGTGTTTATGAACGCCGTTGACTTAACGTTATATAAATATAAGACTTACCTCAACCCCATCCCTAAACCTAACCGTCACTGGGGTTAATGGCATTTATGACTGTTCCCTTACCATCCTAGGTAAAAAAAAGATACGACTTACCTCAACCCCATCCCTAAACTTAACCGTCACTGGGGTTAATGGCATTTATGGCTGGAGATTTGACTGCGTGTACGGACACGCGGAATGACGCGGACATTAATGACGTAGACATATACGCATACACGCGGATAGCTCAAAATGCGTAGAGATAACACGCCACCTGACTCGAAAGTGGCGTATATGTTTACGCAAAAGTCATGATGTCATGTTGCTGTGAAACATAAAAGAAGATATTTTGAAAAATGTCTTTTTTTTGTCCATATAATGAATGTCTATTGGACTCCAACATTCTTCAAAGTATCTTCTTTTGTGTTCTTCAGAAAAAAAGGTTTGGACTAAATTCGGGGAGATTAAATGATGAAAGATCTTTAATTTTTGTGTGAACTGTCCCTTTAAGTTTGAATTGGTAATATGTTCACATCAGTGCTGAAATTGACACAAAAAGGCAATTTTCCTCTGCAGTTGGCTGCAACACTGCAGTGATGCTGATTAATAGAAACAGGCAATGAATGAGTAACATGGTAACGTGGAAGCTTCTCCATGTTTGATGAGCCAACATGAAATTTTCCCCGGCATACTGCATGTGATGAGGATGAGTTTATGCAACTGCACCTGAGGCAAGTGAATACCAAGAAATACAAGAAACATACATACTGATGAGACCTTTGTCTGTTGTACTCTTATAACAGTTCCATGCTGTCCCAATCTGTGATGTGTTTCTCTCTGGTTGCCACACTTATCCCTCAACTAACATCAAAGCTCCTATCTTTGTTTTGTTCACAAATTTGAAAGACACAGGAAGAGACAGTATGGGAAGGGTGAAGACTGAAGAGGGTTGTGGTGAGGCATTGTGTAAGCGTGTGTCTCTGGGGCCGGCAGAAAGATAACTGAAGTGGTGATTACATAAATGCACAAATGGGCTGCAGTTTCTGCCTGCTGTTCCCTGGGCAGTAAACAGCCGGACTGCTTTAGTGTGGCCATCCAGTTATGCAAGCTACTCTTTATTTGTCAGATAAACCCATAAATTCAATGTGCAATCTTAACTGGGAAGACCCCAATGTGGAAGAGGATGTTTCTAAAAGAGGAAGTGTGCAGTACTGGATTGATGGACTCAATTGACTAGGTTTCAAGTATACAGTTTCCATGTAAATGCTTAGTGTGTGCGTATAGCTGAACATATAGCCTTTTCAAAGTATGCTCCGTGTGACGGTTGCAATGAAACATATTGACATATTTCTATTAACACATGGGCAATAGAAGATTTTATTTTTGTCCAGTGCCTGCGCTATTTCTCTCCAGAAGTTATGAGCGATAGAATTGAGTCTTGGGTATTCCTAAACCCCTCACACAAACACTTGTCAATATGGCTGACTGTTGTTGTTGTTTCTCGATCTAGTAGTTTGTTGTGATACCAGTTTTGCCACCTTAGGTCTTTTTACACTTGAAATACTTAACCCCAGGTTATTTTGAACAGAATCCTGTCTGGGAACAGGGTTTCACACTGCTCATAATTTAGCCAGGGTTAACAATTAATCCAGTCTATTCCTACACTGATGTTCCTACACTAACCCAGGGTTAACGCTCTTATTTGCATATTTTTAGGTGCTGGTTTCTGTCACATCTTAATATTATTCCCCTTCAATGCGGAAACGAATGTTTATATACAATGCACAGTGTTTTGACTATCCAAAGCATGTGAATATGAGGCATGCAATTGGCTATCGGTTGCTACGGATCTGACCATGTGCGTGGCTCAAAATAATCTGACTGGCATGCATACTGTGGTGATGGCGAAATGTACATCATGTGCACTGTACGCAGACCATATCATAAAAAAAAAAAAAAAAAACAGAATATACTTTGAGCTTTAAAGTTCACAGTTTTCTTGTTCAGATGATCTTGTACAAATAAGTTTGATATTGGGTTTTTAAACCAGTTCATACTATAGCTACTTTGAAAAAAGTAGATAATTAGAAGCTTTGTGGATATATATATTTTTTTTATAGAAATAAACTATTGATGCAGTGCATAAAAAGCATGGTCATGCCTTATAATAATATAGCAATTTTGATTCAGCAGTGTTGGTTTGGAAATCTAAAAACCTCTGTCATATGTCCTATGTCAATGAAAAGAAGGTAAGACTATGGTGGCATATATGAAATTTCATTCAAGACCTTCCTTTTTATGCAGAAGAGCACTATAGTTAACGACAATAAAAAATGTTCTTCCACAAGGAAAATTTTGTTTCAACCAAAAGTCGACAGAGTCAGAATAGTGCATCTTTTTTGCTGTTTGCTGCATTGTGTCCAGCAACTTTACTAAAATTTGGGCTGAATGTGCAAACTTTTTATTCTGGATAAGTTATTAATCCATAAATAATCCAGTACAGTATTGTTTCTGTACTGAGATTGTCCTCTAAATTCATCCATACACACTCCAAATCCATTTCTTAGCAAAGATGCCCAACATGCCATTTTTCATACCCACATTGTGATGTTTTAGCACCCCATGTGGAGTGTTTGGGCAGGGAAGAGTGGCCCCCTGTGGATAAGATTACTCATTTTGATAAAATGCCCATG